TGAAATTATTCGAAGCAGTTTTAAGAATCYGGGGGGGAGGGAGGAGGAGGAAAATCTTCTTTAATTTCAAAAACGAAAGATATTTTCTACAGTAGGATTCAAATGATTTAAAAATTGCAAAAGAAAACTATCAGCTTAAGAAACAAAAGGGAGTGCATGGCTTGGGTACTACGACCTGCTTTTCTCAATATTCTTTGAAGTTTGATTTCAATATAACCCAGAACAACTTTACTGGCCCATGAAGTTACCGGAACCTGCGAGAAAAGGCCTCAGGAGTGTAGAGTGTGTGACAAGATACCCACCCTTGAGACGGTTAAACTCAGCAAAAGCAGTTTCCCACAAGCTAAATTTTTACTGAATTTTTACTGCCAAGTTATAATGATGAATCGAATGCTCAATTTTGCTTCTATTATTTTAATCAGCTCAAAACGTTTAATGTTTGTTCAGATTATTTATTAATTAAGAATCTTAATTTCTAATGAGTTTCTTTTTTCAGATACTCACTTATCTTATTATCTTCGGTGCAGAATTTGCGCGTGAAGTATTACAAAGAGGGAGAATGGATCAGTGAAAAGAAACTTGCGGAAGGTTTGTAGTCATTTAAACCCGCTTTAATTTCACAATGAGATGGAGTGAAAGGCTGGAACAAAGGCTGTGGATGAGCATTTTGTCCGAGAGTCTGTTGGATTGATATCTAGCATTGAAATGGTTTAACGTATTATCCTCAGGTAATAAATGAATATGTAATAGGTAATAATCCTCAGGTATGCGCATTCGATCATAACTTTTATTGCATGTTAGACTGCGCAATATAAGAAATAAACATTATTATTATTATTATAAATTCTTTATCAGAAATTCGACCCGAGAGCTCTTGTAAAATGCTTTTTTACACGATAAGTCCCTAACCAAATTATGCATGTCCTTGTTCATATTCTAAGTAGAAAACACTGAAGGTTACTTTACTCTCTTTCAATCTAATGGTTTACTTACGCAGTAAAAAAAAACTGAATCATTTACAGAGCTTCTTGAGTTCAGTGAAGATCGCAATCCTTGGGAATCAGTGGAAGAAAAGCTTAACGCGATTAGGTAAGGATGATTCTCGCACTGAAATTAGTCCTGCCTGTTCAGAATTATCTTTGCACCAAACCCCCATTCAGACTGCCGTAACTCCCCGACGCATGTCTCAATAATTTTCTTCGTTTCGACTCTTAATCCCAGGGATATGATGCGAAAGATGGTCAAACAGATGAGGCAAGAGAGGATGAACATGTGTTAGATATTTCCGTGGGAATGTATGAAGCCTTGAACAACTCGAGCCGCGGAAAATCCACAAGGCACCATTTAACAGAGTAATTTTACTTTAAACTCTTTAAATTCGAAAACAAATAAATACAGCAAAAAGAAAAAGAGAGCCCCAAATTATTTTCTAAGCATGCCTGTCTTCATGAAACTAAAGCTAAGTGAAAGGTTGAAGGGCGCGTAGCTATGGGCCACAACACTTTCGAAAAATTAAATTTTAAGTGCAACGCTGTTTTTACTTTGTGAAAAACTCGTTAAGTAAAGGTTACCTACAAGATAAAACAGTTTGGTCAAATTTGAAGCAAGGAAAACAGTGGAATCATTTTGGCAAACTTAATGTCAGGCAATTATGATTGTAGATGGGTTTATGGCCCTTGGTGTTAAATCTGTTCATTTAAATTTTGTTGGTTTGGTGTTTTACCGTTGGAAGCCAACCATCTATTCAGCCACTCTTGACATTTCACTTTCACATCTACATCTTCCCTCGACCGTGACCTTTCAAGCAAAGCTTGTGCAGTCAAACTGCACGTAGAAACTGCAGATCTAAAGTGTGGGGAATTTTTATGGTCGGCCAGTTTTACTGTTTCTTGAGAAGCTCGGAAATCCGCAGGACAGCTGACACATTGTCTGTTTAAATCCATTCTGTCGAAATCTGAGAAATGGAGACGACGACTTCTGCAGGTACAAACGGCTTTTCTCATGTCTACAACAACACATTCTTTGTGAATACGCCGTTCTGTGAAAGGAAACGGAGGTCCCGTCGAGTTTCGTTTTCGTAAAAGCCGGCGACGTGTTTTCAGAACAGCTAACGAAGTGTCTGACTGTTTAGGGGCATCGCTCCCCTTATACGAATTTCTGTTGGTCTTCAATACAATTTCTCTAAGTTTCTCACGGTGTTCGTTTGTCTGTAAAGTGCAGTTTGAACTTCCGCCGTTATGAGCGGCTGTGTAATTTCTAAACGCTATTAAGTCTGCATGAAGTGATTGTTGCGATTGAATGCACATGTGAGGTCGTGCCGTTAGCCTGTCTGTATTTCTCACTACAGTTTGCTCCCGGTTCAAAATAGTCTTAAAATCCGACGTTATCTTTCGTGTTCTTTCCCGAGGTGAAACTCGGCTTGCCGAATGATCAGGTGAGGGAAACGAGGTCGATTCTTTCGAAGTATTCGAAGGTTGGTCGGATTCATTCGGAGAATCAGCGAAGTGAGCCCCAACATCGTCGCTTAAATCGTCGCCAAATCCGCTGTCAGTTTTTGAAAGACGGCTTCGTTGTTTCCTGAGTTTCTTGGCGTGATCTAGTGGCTGAGGAAATTCTGGAGAATCATGTCGATCGTTATTCTGAAAGTTCAGTTTAGAAACGAATAATCCTTCCAAGTCTTCCATGCCCTTTCTTCCATTTTCTTCTAACACAACAGCGTTATCTCTAAGTCGACCCTGTTTCGCAACCTGTTGAAGAGTTTTCTTTACATTTCCTGGATTCATTCCTTCGCTGTTCTTCCAACTTGAACGAGCCTTTTCGCAGTTTTGTGTTAGCTGTGTGGTTGTAATGTCAGGAAGAATAAAACTTTCTCTTGTTTGGCTCAGTTTGGGAAGAGAATACCTTCCAGTGAATGCTTTTCCTTTCTTAATACGCGCCCGCTCAGCAGCGAAATCTATTGTATTCCTCTCCACTCTTTCTCCAAAGGCAAACATCTTGTGCTCTGTGTTCCTGTACGTTGCCAAGGTTTTTACGCCAAAAGAAGCAACTTCTTTCACTGAACAGTCAATTAACAAGCTTACCGTCGTCTGTATGATGTGTCAAGGTTGCTAATTATGAGTCGATTGACTTGTTAATTAAAATAAAACAGGACATTTCACTCATTCATGTCGCTGAGTGAGAAACTTGTACGATACTTGTTCAAATGGTCGGTTTGAGACGAGAAACTAGCAAAGCGGACGTTAGCTATAGGAACAGAGGTCAGATCGTTTCGTGTGGTTAGTTACGATGTAATGGCACCTTTTGTTTTACCTAACAAACGAGGAACATTCCAGAGAAAGTTTATGAATAGTGTAATCTTGG